AGAGAGAGAGAAAGAAAGAAAGAAAGAAAGAAAGAAAGAAAGAAAGAAAGAAAGAAAGAAAGAAAGAAAGAAAGAAAGAAAGAAAGAAAGAAGAGATTGGATTTATACCCCACCCTTCACTATCCGAAGGAGTCTCAGAGCGGTTTACAAACTCCTTTCCCTTCCCCTCCCCACAACAGACACCCTGTGAGGTAAAAGAAGAAGAAGAGATTGGATTTATACCCCGCCCTTCACTACCCAAGGGACTCTCAGAGCGGCTTACAAACTCCTTTCCCTTCCCCTCCCCACAACAGACAACCTGTGAGGTAAAAGAAGAAGAAGTCTCGACTGCTTGCTAAGCTCAGCTTGGACTTTGGCCGTTTGGTTCCCTCGGCCTGATTTGCAGCTGGTCTCCTGACAAAAAAAAGCCCTCGAGACAGCATTCTTCTTCTTTTTTTAAGCGACTTGTTTTCAAAAGAAATTCCCAAACCATGGGAGTTAGTCTCGCTCTGTCCCTGACACTGACAGTGTTCAAACCCAGCAGGAACTCCTTCTAGTTTGAACAGAAGAAGAAGAAGAGAAGAGATTGGATTTATACTCCGCCCTTCTCTCCCCAAAGGAGTCTCAGAGCGGCTTACAAACTCCTTTCCCTTCCCCTCCCCACAACAGACACCCTGTGAGGTAGGTGGGGGCTGAGAGAGCTTTGAGAGAACCGCCCTTGAGAGAACTGCTGTCAGAGAACTTGTGACTGACCCTACGTTCCTTCCCCCACCAGTGGCTGGGAGGACCTGGAAACCCTACTTCTGACCCAGTCGCCTTCTGATATTGGTGGTTAAGAGCCACGGACTCTAATCTGGGAGAACTGGATTTGATTCCCCACTCCTCCACTCGCAGCTGCTGGCGTGACCTCCGGTCAGCCACAAGTTCTCCCAGAGCTGTTATCTCCAGAGCAGTCCTCGAAAGAGCTCTCTCAGCCCCACCTACCTCACAGGGTGTCTGTTGTGGGGAGAAGAAGGGAAGGAGATTGTAAACTGCTCTGAGACGCCGAGTGAAGGGCGGGGTATAAATCCAATCTCTTCTTCAAGCTGGAAGCAAAATCCTTAAAGCGATAGAACCAAGCAAGGATTGTGTGTGTGTGTGTGTGTGTGTGAGGGGGGGGAGTATGGTTTAGCTCCTCTTGCCCACTTCTTGCATTTATGTACCGCAACACACACACACACATTTACACACCTCGCCGTGAGCAACAGGGCCGCTGTATGGATCCTCCTGTCCCATTCAGCTCCACCGGTGATCTCAAAGGCTCCTTTCCCCCTCTCTGCAGTTGTTCGATCGGGAGCTCTGCGTCCGTCAGCTGAGATACTCGGGGATGATGGAGACCATCCGGATCCGCAGGGCCGGCTACCCTATCCGCTACACTTTTGTGGAGTTTGTGGACAGGTACCGCGTCCTCATGCCGGGGGTTAAGCCAGCGTATAAGCAGGTATGCCTCTTCTTTATTTACTTACTTTATGCGTAGTCTGCCTTTCTTGCTGACACTCAAAGCGGATCACAGGATCTAAGCGCTGCGGTTGGACGGCACATGGCAACCCAGTGCAATACAGTTAGGATTACAGAATTAGAGAACAATAGGAACTAGCTATCTATGGCAAGGTGTACTATAAACAGTGTGCATCGTGTGCCATCGAGGCGCTTCTGGCTTGTGGTGGCCCCATGAATGAATGACCTCTGAAATGTCCTGTCCTTCACAGCCTTGCTCAGGCCTTGCAAACTGAGGGTCGTGTGACTTCCTTGAGTGAGTCGGTCCACCTCATGTGGGGGTCTTCCTCTTTTCCTGCTGCCTTTCACTTTTCCTAGCGTTAGAACAAAGTTTTTGGGTCCAGGGGCACTTTTAAGACCAACAAAGTTTCATTCTGGGTATGAACTTTCGTGTGCACGCACACTCCCTCAGATACATTGAAACAGACCTCCTGAAGCCTCACATATAGGGGGGAGGTCAGTTGCCGGGAAGCGCTAGTTAGAGTCAAGATGAATAAGTAACTGAGTGATAAGTATAGCTAAGATCGGACTAAAGCAGTTCAGTCTGTTTCTGAAATCCCTTTGCAATTACAAGTTATTACAACACTCAGGACAATGGAACCCCCAGGGCTTAACAGAGATATTGGGTTCTTATCACACCACACATGCTAGGTCAGTCAGTTCTCGCTTATACCCAGAATTAAACTTAGTTGGTCTTAGAGGTGCCACTGGACTCAAACTTAGTTCTCACATCTGCTTGTCAACTCTTTTATTTGTATGTTAATCTGCTGCTATTCACAGGTCCTACCAACTGCTTTAATCCAATCATAGCTATACTTTTCATTCATCTTGACTCTAACTAGCCCTTCTTGGCAACTAACTCCCCCACTCCTAACTATTGCTTGTTCTGTTGCTTCAGACCAATATGGCTACCCACCTGAATCTCTTTTCCTAGCACTGTTGTATTTCCCAGTGAATCTTGTCTTCTCATAATGTCGTGGGTCCTAGGTCTGCTGAGGCTGACTACTCCTCAGATGAGGAAGAGGCAGGGAGCAGCCCAGCCTCCTCTGGAGTCAGCCCAGAAGAAGAACCCCCAACAGCACCTGAGGAGGAAGAGTCCCCAGCGGCTGCACGGGAGGTGCAGCCAGAAGGAGAGGCTGATCCTGAGCCTGGCCCAGCACCCCCAGTTGCAAACACCCCAAGGCCAGACTCCTTGACTAGTTCTCCTGAGTGCCCCAGACATAGGGCACACCAGAGGCTGACTATGCAGGAGCGAAGAAGGAGTGCCAGACTCCAGCTCCTGCAGAGGCAGAGGGAAGAGCTGTAAGCCTTTGCAGACTCAACTCCCAGGGAAGGGAGGACCTGCTCAAAAGCACTCCGTACAGCTGGTTCAACGTGGCAGCAACTTTGCTCTGGCATGTGTGTAGCAGCCGCTCCTTGTCCCTGCAGCCTTGAATTGACTTTCTGGCTCTTTGACTTTTGGCTCTGACAGACCTTGATTCTGGACTGTGTTTACAAGCTCCCAGTGTGTGGTCCCTGTGGCTGCCAGCCAAGACAGCACACATCATGTGACCAAAGTACAGTGACCTCAGTTCAGGGGTCATTTTGTAGAGAAAGAGGTGCAGGAGCTCATTAGCATAACTTATTTGCATATGCTACACCCCCTGACATCACCGGAAGTATGTCAGAAGGCAACACCCACCGCTCAGGCTCCACTGGACTGTTTTGGATTGCTAGCTATTTGGGGGGGAACATGCAGATCTGTCCTCGTGGAGGAGGGAGAGCTCATAACTGAATAAGACTTGGTCTTAAAGGTGCCACTGGACTGATTTGGACCAGGGGGGCGGGGGGAGCTCTGCAACTTACCTGGCTGCTTCTTGCTCTGACTGAGGGCTGCTGGGAGCAGGGGGTGGGGCTTGTTGCATGTGCCCGCCCCCTGGGCTCTTTACTGCCGGAGCTCCGCTCCTGTGCGCTCCTGCAGGAAATGACCCCTGCCTCAGTTTAATCATTTTAGTTCTAGGAGACTTCAGGCTTGATTTTATCTAAAACCCACTGATTTGTCTCTTTGGCGGTCCACGCTATCCCAAAAAACTCTCCTCCTACACCAGGTTTCAAATGAATCACTGTCAAAACTGTACAGGCCATACATATCCTCTTCTCGCTTTGGTGGCCTCCAGAGAGCGATATCAAGACAGTTCTCTCCCCCCCCCCCATCGTAACGTTTTAATTTAAGAAAAACCCTCCGTGTGAATGTTTGTTCATTCTTTGCCTAATGAGATTTTTTTTTTTGAAGAAACCTTTGTTTAAGGTTGGCAGCTCGAGGCATCCGCTTCTGTCAGCTGAGGAAGGAGCCACTTCATTTTCTATTGTGTTGAAGTAATGCAGCTTCTACGATTTTTTGTTTACTAGCTGCCTCGAGCATATTCTCTGTCTCTCTGTGCCATGTTTTTTCTGTCCTTGCTCCAAGGAACTCGGAATAAAGTACATGGTTCTTGTCAAATGTAAAGTGCCATCAAAATGCAGGTAATTTATGGTGACCCCAGCAGGGGGCTTTCAAGGCAAGTGAGAAGCAGAGGTGGTTTACCATTCCCTTCCTCTGCAGAATCTTCCTGGGCAATCACGTCGTCGCTCCACCTCCTCTTCTCCAGACCAATGTTCCCTCTAAGCTGAGTTGGTGTGAGCGAGCTCACAGTTTTTTAGCTTCCGGCTCACACATTTCTGTCTTAGCTCAGGAAGGAGGGCTCCAGAGCAAACTGATTTACACAGTAGCCAAATCGCTCGCTCAAAACATTAATGCCAGTCGCTCACAAAGTAGAATTTTTGCTCACAAGACTCCCCAGCTTAGAGGGAGCATTGCTCCAGACTGAACCTTCCCAAGTCCCTCAGCTTTTCCTCACAGTGCTTGGTCTCCAGGCCCCCGATCTCGTTGCTCTCCTCTGCACCTGTTCCATTCTGTCCACATCCTTTCGGAAGTGAGGTCCCCAGAACTGCACACAAGACTCCAGATGCAATGCAGCGTACAGCGGGACTATCTCATCTTGCTATTTGCATGTTATGCCTCTCTTGCTACCCCCCAAGATCGCATTAGCCTTTTTCGTCACTGCATCCTGGGAGGAGGGTCTCAAATCACGTGAAATGTTAACCTTGTGGGCCTAGATTGCAGGTATCCAAATTACGATCTCTTCTCCCAAACCTCAGGAAAGCAAGACTCTCAAACTCAGTTTGTTTAAATTTCTGTTCATGCTTTCATCTGTGGTGTTTGCCTTTAAACCTGACCGGAATAGCCCTGGCTAACCTAGTCTAATCAAATCTTGTAAGCAAAGTCTTGTGAGCAAAAATTCTACTTTGTGAGCGACTGGCATTAAAGTTGTGAGCGAGCGATTTGGCTACTGAATAAATTGGTTTGCTCTGGAGCCGTCCTTCCCGGGCCTAGACAAAAATGCGTGAGCCAGAGGTTAAAAACCAGTGAGCTAGCTCACACTAACTCAGCTTAGAGGGAACACTGCTTGTAAGCCAAGCAGGGTTGTTGGTACTTGGAGGGGAGACCACCAAAGAAGTCCAGGGTTGCTATGCAGAGGCGGGCAATGACAAAATCACCTCTGTTATTCTCCTGCCTTGAAAACCCTGCGGGGTTGCCATAAGTTGCTTGCGACTTGACGGCACTTTCCGTCACATCAAATGACCTGCTTATGATGGATCTGGAGAGGATCGATCTGTACTGTTTTACACGCAGAGAGGAAATCTGCGTGCCAGGGACCAAGACGTCATTCTGACTTGTAAACGATAAAGAGCTGAGCCTAACTGGAATATTTTGATCGGGACCTTGTTTGTACATGTATATTCACTGCATGTCGATGAAGACTTACCTGATTTACCTGATGAAGGAACAGGTCCGAAACGCCAACTATCCAGAACTGTGTAGTTTCCACTTGGGACGGATCTTATCTTTTTTACAAGCCACAATATAGAGATGTTTGGACTTCAGTCCAAGGCCTTGTGATAGGCTTGCCAAGTCCCCCCAGGGAGCGGGGAAACCCCCGCCCCAGAGGCCCGTTCCCCGCCAGCGGTGGATCGGGCCCCAGGGGGAACCCCACCCGAACGTGCGCGTCACCTGGAAGTGACGTGACGACGCCAGGCATGCTGGGGGCGGGGCCACTGTCATCCGAGGGAAAACTCTATGGTTTTCCCTCGGATGGTTGTGGCCCCGCCCCCAGCGTGCCAGGCGTCGTCACTTCCGGGTGACGTGCGTGCGGCGCGCGCACTCCAGCCACCCTCCAGACTCCAGCGGGGAGTTCCCCGCTCCAGAGAAATTTTGACTTGGCAACCCTACCTTGTGGAATTTATATAAGCAATGCTTTTCTATTGTGTGCTTGCTTTGTTAATGAAAGAAGTCTGCTGCTTCAGAGATGTGCTGTGACTTCTTGTGGGCTTGAGTTTGTTACCACTCGCTTTTTGCTAATTACTCTTTACAACATTTGTGATTCTACAGTAATATATATATGAGATTGGTAAAATTGTTGATTTTGGTCCCTATATAATTATTATGGCATGTACTTAGTGCATTTTGAGGGGCTGCGGTGGCTCATTGGTTAAGACGCTGAACTGCAGGCTGGAAGGTCAGTAGTTTGGCAGTTCGAGACCCGAGTGCCACATGACGGAGTGAGCTCTCATCTCTGGTCCCAGCTCCTGCCAACCTAGCAGTTTGAAAGCAAGAAATTGCAAGTAGATAAATACTTTCGGTGGGAAGGTAACAGCATTCTGTGCGCCTCAGTGTCTAGTCATGCCGGCCATATGACCATGGAAACGTATTTGGACAACGCTGGCTCTTCGGCTTGGAAACGGAGATGAGCACCGCACCCCTAGAGTTGGATTCGACTGGCTTTCGAGCAAGGGAAACCTTTACTTTTACCTTTAGTGCGTTTTGACTACAGATTTGTAGGTGATTCTAATGGTTGTTTTTCTGTAGCCCCCCCCCCCTTGCTGGAGACCATTATCGGCACTGGAGCCTAAGGCATCTGTCCAGTCAAGGCACGAGGTAGCCGTAATTCTCAGGAACTGTTGACAAAAGTTCCCACACATCTCTTTCTTCCTTAGGGAGATCTGCGCGGAACGTGCCAGCGCATCGCGGAAGCTGTTCTGGGCAAGGATGACGACTGGCAGATTGGCAAGACAAAGATTTTCCTGAAGGTAGGAGAGCAACTTGTCCCCAGAACCAGCTGGAACCCAGCCTTAGGAAACATGTCATTCTAATTACTTATATATCTTGTTTTTTGTGCCTATACAATCCTCAGAGTGGCTTAGAATAAAAAGAATAACGCAAAACCCGGCATAGCATCACATTAGAAACTCTACAGTTTGTAAATGCAAATGCGCTTGAAGCAGTTGAAGATATTACTTCATCAAGTGCTCAATAATGTCTCAGCAGTAGATGGAGGGTGTTTTCAGACACGCCATCCTTTAGAAACAGCATTGGCACCACAGTACTAAATGAAATGGACAGGAAAACATCTTTTTAGGATGGGATTGTCCGGCTGGTCATATCCACCAGGCACAGGAACTAGGGTTGCCAAATTCAGATCGTCCGGGAGCGGGGGGCTCCCGGACGATCCCGGGCACGTGCGTGCGCGTCACCCGGAAGTGACGTCGCACACTGGGGGCGGGGCCACGCGATTTGAGGGGAAAACAAAGAGTTTTCCCCTCAAATTGCTGCCATTTGAGGGGAAAACTCTTTGTTTTCCCCTCAAATCGCGTGGCCCCGCCCCCAGCGTGCGACGTCACTTCCGGGTGACGCGCACGTGGGGGTGGGGTTTCCCCCGGGCCCCGATTCCGGCGCGCCGGTAATCGGAGGTCCAAAGCGGGGGAATCCCCGCCCCCCGGCTGCATTTGGCAGCCCTAACAGGAACGTATAATTAAGCTGTTTTATACAGGATGAAGTTTGAATCCAGTAGCACCTTTAAGGCAAACAAAGTTTAATTCTGGCTATAAGCTTCATAAATGTGTATGCAAACGAAAGCTCACACAATCAGGGCTATTTTTGAGCAGGAACGCACAGGAACGGAGTTCCGGCTGGCTCCTGAGTTGGCCACGCCCAGCAGGAACTCATTAGCATAATAGTCCACACCCAACAGCAGGAACTCATCAGGATTGGCTACATCAGGGGTGTGTGGCCTAACATGCAAAGGAGATCCTGCTACAAAAAAGGCCCTGGGTTTTGACAACAAACAAGGTAAACAGAATAAGAAGCAAAAGGTGGGTGTGGCTGGATGACCACACTTCTAGTAACACAGGGGTGTGGCCTAACATGCTAATGATCTGTGGTGTCGGGGTGTGGCCTAATATGCTAATGAATTTCTGCTGTTGGGTTTGGCCTATTATGCTAATGACTTCCTGCTGGGCTTTTTCTACCAAAAAAGCCCTGCTTACAATTAAACTTTGTTGGCCTTAAAGGTGCCACTAGATTAAAACTTTGTTCTAGTGCTTCAGACTAACATAGCTACCAGTGTTCCCTCTAAGCTGAATTAGTGTGAGCTAGCTCACAGTTTTTTAGCCTCTGGCTCTCATGTTTTTGCCTTCACTCAGGAAGGGATGGCTCCAGAGCAAACTAATTGATGCAGGAGCCAAATTGCTTTAATGCCAGTAGCTCACAAAGTGGAATTTTGGCTCACAGGACTTCACAGCTTAGAGGGAGCATTGAATCTTATACAGGATAAGTTGAGGGAAGGCGGCATGTTATAGCCCAGTCTCATCCGATCTCAGAAGAAAATCAGGGTGAGTACTTGGATAGGAGGCCACCAAGGAAGACTCTGCAGAGGAAGGCAATGGCAGACCACTTCTGCTTCTCACACCTTTTGCATACTTGACTCATCTTTGGTATAATGGTTAAGAGCATGGACTCTAATCTGGGAGAACTGGGTTGGATTCCCCACTCCTCCACGTGCAGCTGCTGGGGTGACCTTGGGTCAGTTACAAGTTCTCTCAGAGCTGTTCTCTTAGGAGCAGTTCTTGAAAGAGCTCTCTCAGCTCCACCTGCTTCACAGGGTGTCTTTTGTGGGGGAGGGAAAGGACATTGTAAACTGAAGGATGGGGTATCTATCCAATCTCCTCTTCTTATTCTTCTTCATCTTCTTTGTCTCCTCCTCCCCCCCCCCATGAATCCCAGAGGTTCCCTAAGGAGGTAACACCTCTCATATAGAGACTTGTGCTTCTAGAGAAATCATCTTCTTCAGCAGATCAGATTTTCTATTTATTGTAGTTCCGGTATAATCCGTGTGCTTATTTTTAAATGCGCCCCTCATCTATTTCTTAGATAACCGTTCAGAATTCCGTGCAGTGAGCGTTATCACAGCTCTGCAGCTGCTCAAACAGGAAATCGGGAAATGAGCAGTTCAAAAGGGCACGCCTGAGTGTGTTGAATCATTGTTGGGTTGGAAAAGAAAGCAAATTAGAGGGCAGAGAGAAAAACCCCTTAATTCAGTGTTTGCAAACCTTCTGGCATCTGAGAACTTCTTTATCTGAATTAAAACTCAGAGGCCTGGAAAATTTTATTTTTACATTGCAGAAGTGTAAGAATTAGGGTCAAACCAGACCTGGCTCCTAAACAGTTGTGTGAGCATTTACTTCAGGTGGTACTGGGGGATTCATTCATTTTTCTAATCTAACACAGCCCCGTGGAGATCCTATTGGGGCAAACACGCAAGCATTCTATATCTAGGATTGCCAGCTTGGCAAATGATGGGAGTTTTTGAAGGTGGAGAGGGATGGTGGAGTTTGGAGAAGATGTGGCATCACTTCCAGGTGACACTCTAGGAATCTCCCCTTCTCTCTATGGTAAAAACCTTAGAGACATGGGGAAATTCCTAGAGTGTCAATATGAAGGCCATTTACCAGTCATTTTCTCTCTCTCCTTCCTTGACTTCTTGAGGGTGGGGGATTGGGGCCACGGGCAGCCCAGGCAAATGGCGAACCTATCTGTATCTGTGCCCAGACATGTCGATAAGACGGGGGACAGAGGTTATTTCCGTCCTTCCTGTTTCATCATCCCGTTGGAATTCAGGAGCTGGCAAAGGCTTTGTTTTGAAATGTGAAAAAGCTCCCACGTTGGAGTTGCCAGCTCTGGGCTGGGAAATTTGTTGAGATTTGGAGGTGGAGCTTGGAGAGGGCGGGGTTTGGGGAAGAGGAGGGGCCTCAGTAGGGAATAATGCCATAGAGCTCCCCCTCCCAGAGCAGCCATTTTCTCCAGGGGTATTGATCCAAGGTTTTCCCTCTTGCTGTGCCCCAGCACTTGTATTCAAAGATACGCTGCCTCAGTTTGGTGTAGTGGTTAAGTGTGTGGACTCTAATCTGGGAGAACCGGGTTTGATTCCCCACTCCTCCACTTGCGCCTGGCTAGATGACCTTGGGCAAGCCGTAGTTCTGTCAGAGCTGTCCTTGAAAAAGAGCCGTTTCTGTCAGAGCTCTCTCAGCCCCACCTGCCTCACAGGGTGTCTGTTGGGGGGAGAAAAAGGGAAAGGAGTTTGTAAGCCACTCTGAGACACCTTTGGGTAGTGAAGGGCGGGATATAAATCCAATCTCTTCTTTTGGTGTAGTGTTTAAGTGTGCGGACTCTAATCTGGGAGAACTGGGTTTGAGTCCCCACTCCTCCACTTGCACCTGCTGGATGACCTTGGGCAAGCCATAGTAGGGCGGGGTATAAATCCTCCAATCTCTTCTTCTTCTTTTACCTCACAGGGTGTCTGTTGTGGGGAGGGGAAGGGAAAGGAGTTTGTAAGCCGCTCTGAGGCAGCTTTTGATAGTGAAGGATGGGGTATAAATCCAATCTCCTCTTCTTGTTCTTCTTCAGAACATGGAGGTTCCACTTAGTCACCATAGCTAGTATCTCTGTGTAGGTGTACCCTTCAGGAGTTTGTCTCATTCATGGAGGTTCCACTTAGTCACCATGTCTAGTATCTCTGTCTAGGTGTACCCTTCAGGAGTTTGTCTCATCCCCTTTTAAAGCCAGCTCAACTAATAGGCATTACAGCACCTATAATGTCACAGAGTCCACCTTCCAAAGCAGCCATCTTCTCCGGGGAAATCGATCTCTGTGCTCTGAAGATCAGTTGCTGGGAGATCTCCAGGTCCCACCTGGGGAATGGCAACCCCATGACCCGTGTGTTTTCCCATCCCATTGTGAAATGCCAGAACTGACATTTTCGTACCATTTGCTGTGTGCCCTCCTTCCGGCCATTCAACCAATATCTAGAGGGTACTTCACCGTGTTGTTTTCTCCTCAGGATCACCATGATATGCTCCTGGAAATCGAGAGGGACAAGGCCATCACGGACAAAGTGATCCTCATCCAGAAAGTGGTCCGTGGATTTAAGGACAGGTAGGATGGGCGATTGGAACCGTGGGAGGGCTTCTAGTGTCCTGGTCCCACTGGTGGACCTCCTTGACGGCACCTGGTATTTTTGGCCACTGTGTGACACAGGCCAATGGCCCATCCAGTCCAACACTCTGGCTTATTTCACACTAGAGCTGCCTCGATGTTGCGCCGCCGTTTGCCCCGATACTATGGGTCAATTTCACACCCGAAGCCTGCAAGACGGAGCTCTTCCGCCAGGCGTTCGAGTAGGAGCCACCGCCGCCACTATTTTACCACCGAGGTGGCAAGTCATCGGCTGCCCTATAAAAATGGGGGCGAGTGGGCCCAGGCAGAAGTTCGAGACAGCGTAGTGGGAGACCACGCTACTGAGATAGTTGGCCACCAAATCTGGGGGGGTTGTTTCCATCTTGGAGGATTAATATAGGTATAGCACCGTACCATTGGAAGGTTTTATTGTGATTTTAAATGTTTTATTGTGATTTTAAATGTTGTATTTATTGTATGCTGTATTATATTTTGCACTCGGCTTTGCCGCATGTGAGCCGCCCTGAGCCTTTGGGAGGGCGGGATATAAATCAAACTAATAAATAAATAAATAATAAGCTGCGGGGCTGCATTTTGACCCGCAGCTTCGCCCGATTTCCCCCGCAGTTTCGTGATCCTGTTTTTTTAGGTTCACGAAACTGCGGAGGGAATCGGGTGAAGCCGCGGGTCAAAGGCAGCCCCGCGGCTTTGGGTGTGGAATTGACCCATAGTATCGGGGCAAACGGCGGCGCAGCATCGAGGCGGCTTTCATGCGAAATCAGCCTCTGTGTCACACAGTGGCCAAAAACACCAGGTGCCACCAGGAGGTCCGTCAGTGGGGCCAGGACAGTGTTGGATTGGATGGGCGATTGGCCTGATCCAACGTTGGCTTCTCTTATGTTCTCAAGCTGGGACGGATTCAGGTGGATAGCCGTGTTGGTCTGAGGCAGCAGAACAAAGTTGGAGTCCAGGCAAGACAGTAGAGATCCATTATTGGGAAGACATCACCTTCCATGCTACACAGCTGTTACATTCCAGATGTTATTTTTAAAAAATCAGTATCTGGCACAGGGTTCCCCAACGTGGTGCCCATGGCACCCGCCAAATGTTTTGAGGAAGTGGGCGGGGCCAGATAGGGCTTTTGCCATCAAGGCTTCTGATTGGCTACTGGAGATTTGATTGGCTGGTCAGATTTTCTTGAATGTTGCTTTGGCAGCAGCTGCCCCCACAGCACAAGGATCCACGCCGCGTCGCTGAATTTAAGCTGTGGCAGCTATTTTGTGGCTGGTGACTCCTGCAGCAGCCATTTTGTGGCAGCCATGTTGTTCCTGTGCCCACAAATCCTGTCAGAATCCCAGATGTGTCCATAGGCTCAGAAAGGTTGGGAACCCCCGATCTAGCAAATGCTGTTTGTTTGGTTTTTTAAATTGCCGTGCAGGGGTCATTTCGTAGAAAAAGAGGTGCAGGAGCTCATTAGCATGACTCATTAGCATGACTCATTAGCATGACTCATTAGCATAACTTATTTGCATGTGCCACACCCCCTGACATCAGTGGAAGTGTGTCAGAAAGCAACATCCACCGCTCAGGCTCCACTGGACTGTTTTGGATTGCTAGTTATTGGGGTGGGGGGGACGTGCAGATCTGTCCTCGCAGAGGAGGGAGAGCTTCTACCTGAATAAAACTTGGTCTTAAAGGTGCCACTGGACTGTTTTGGGGCGGGGGGGGGGGGGGGGGGGGCCTCCGGCACTTCC